CAGACCTGCGGGTCCAGCACAGACTGCAAATGAGCCACATTTAGGTTTCCCCAAAGGGGAGTGTGAGGAAAAATAGTACCTGGTGCACACGTAGTCATCGTGACCTGCCTCCAAACCAGAACAGTGGCCTTCATGGGGGAAGTGATATTGGGACCGGACCGAGGCTCTCTATACACTAGATTACTAAGCTCTGACTAGGACCCCAACAAAGCTGCCTTCAGGTTAACTGCCAGGTTTTAATTTAATTTGAGCGAATCACCGCTGTACTGTTACCAACACCACAGCCCAATAGTACCTTTTAAAATAGGGCAGCGCCAACCTCCCACCAGGCAGTGAGGCAATGATTTCCAAACCGAACATTTTTGTATAAGCTGGTGTATGACTGGAAAAAGGTTATCAACCAGGTATGTGGCTAAGTCCCTTTGAACCTTAATACCTAGGTATTTAAATTGGGACACCCACACAAGCGGGCCCACCTGGGTCGAAGGGGGTGCTCAAGGAGTTAAAGGAAACAGTACAGATTTATCCCAATTCACTCTAACTTTTGATTAGGTACCAAAAGTATTAATAATATCTAATTTGAAAGCAGCTTTATGGACTACCACCACCTTGGAATTACCAGTATTAAACAGCCATAGATAGTCACTTAGTGAAAGACTTATATATTGCTCTGTTTGAACTGTTATGCTGAGTTCTTTCAGTAATGCTTTGAAACACTGTTCTGCCTGGTTTGAAGTTATTCTAAAGCGGTGTATGAAAGTAACTGACACAATACACAGACACTTGCAACTTGGGTCAGTATAGCACACTGAGGTTTGAAGTCAGCCTCTTGATGAGAAAACACGGTTTTGAAGAGAAGGAAGTGGTTGTCAAGAGTAACAAAAGTCTAGTATCCGATACAAGTGGCCTGTTATGAGGTGTGGTACTTGTACTAGGTGAGGTGTCTTCCAGTAGCGAGGGGGTTGCTCTAGGGCTCCCTCCCCAGCGGTGCAGCTCTCATAGTAAGGGAGAGATCAGCATCACAGAGGTCCTTGGCTTAGCCATCAGGTACAGAACGTGAGAGGAGCTAAGTGCACGCATGACCACATTTTGTTACTGTGAATTCAATAAAAAATGCAACAGTTACAGTCAAGGTGTGCATTGATATGGGACCAGAAGGTCAGCTGGAATCTGGTTTATTCAAATCAATGTACACTGTGTAATGGCTATCTCAAAGCTGGAGCACTGCCTTAAGGTTGATTTTCCCTGAAAGCAGCCCCCTCCTTGTCCAAGGGCATTGATGAGCATGACACAGCAAGGAAACCCCATGTGCAGAGTGAGTGACCCCACGCACAGTGCCTAGCATAGCCCAGAAAAACCCTATAACCCCTTCCTTGTTCTCCACATTTGGCTCTGCCTACTTCATACACTTGAAGATCACCACATCACAGGCTTGTCCAGCAATAGTGTAAGTGACTAACCATGCTTGGTTCCTGCACAAGGTACCCTCACTGTGTTGGTAGAGATACTGATAAGGGGCGTATATAGCAACCAGTCTCAGAAGGACACTCTGATCTTCCATGTTCATTGCTACAGGTCACCATGTCTGACCAACAACTGCTTTGGAAGAAGGTGCCATAACAACCGACACCGCAGTCCGGTACCAGCCTGCTGTAGAGCTTGCCCACTGCTGCACAAGCACCCAAGATGCAATCCGGGTTATATGCCTATATTGCTGGAGATGCCTTGTTCGACTATCCCCGTGGGCTTACTGCCATCACTGTGGAGCCCTCCTGTTCTAACGGCTACTCGAGGCTGAAGAACCCAGGGACCTCAGGCTCGATGGACTCCTTGTGACTTCTGATGGCACCAGAGCCACCACCCTGCAGGATCCCCCAGCCAAAGTCCTCCAACCTACCAAGAGCAACATTCCAGGGATGCCCTCCCCCCTTGAACTAGGGGTCAAGCTGCCACCCTGCCCACCTGCATTTATACACAACCTCCAGAAATCATCATTCGGAAGAGTAAGTGGTTGTCAAAAGTAAAGAGTCTAGTATCCAGTACAAGCAGCCTGTCCTGAAGTGTGGTGTCTGTGCTAGGTGATGTGTCTTCCAGTAGCGAGGGGGTTGTTTTTCTGGGGCACCCTCTCCAGTGGTCCATCTCCCATAGCAATGGGAGCAGAACGGCGGCCCCATCAACAGTGCCTAGAGTAGCACGGAAGAACCCAATAACCCCCTTCTTGCTCCCCTCAAGCCTCAAAATCTTACATTTATGGTTTTAATTTTAATACTATTTCAAAGACTGTGCATGTACTTACTAGAATATTTGGGGTGTTTTGCATTTTTATGCTGTATTTTTTTTTTTTTAAATATGCTGGCTGGAATGGGTCCAGGACAAAATGCAGTCTACTAAAAGTTTTTATTGTACATGGAGTCAAGACGTTATTTTTGCCTTTATAGTGTGAAATACCACATTCTAATTGCTTGATTATAAACCCAAAATGCTGTCTCCCAATAAAACAGCATCCTACTAAAGCAGATCACATAATGTGCTTGGATCAAACAATTATTTCAATCTTTTTCAGTGAAAAAACACCCTCCAGTTTTGATTTATTGATTAGAGCATGCCCAGTGTCTCCCCTTTAAACTTCAGCTTACTAAATCTGCTTACAAGCTGCGTCATCCATTCACAGAATTCTATGAATGAACTACTATTCCTGATAGCCATTGTGGCTGTCAGCTTGTAGTTCTCAATCAACTACCAGGGCACTGTTGAGCACTCTACTGTAGGTAGGGTAGTTCATTGATTCTTCCTGTCATTGTGTTATTGCCTGCCTGTATGACTAGACAGCTTACAATGACAGTTTGCTAATCACGGGTGCGATGCTCTTCAGGCTCCTACAAAAGACAAAAAAAAAACTAGCACATGCTCATTTTTTTACCTGCAAAAAAAGTGTATTTATGTATTTATTTATTTTTTTTTGAGGGGGGTGAACTTATCCTTTAAAGTTTGCAATTTTCAAATTTTATGATCAGTTCAATGAATAGACAGTTCATCAAACTAATTTGCTCATCACTAATGACTACTGCCCCAGCTTTTTGTAGATTTTGGTATGTTTATTGGCATTCTTATACAAATGATTTCCCTGAGGTCAACAGGTTTTTTCTATAGTTTGTAATACTTGTAATACTTTTTCTTTTGGAAGCTTCCTTTTAACTATAGGGGCAGTGTTTGTAATTGTAAATACTTTCTGACTGCATTTTCTGCAACAAGCTGGGAGATTTTGTGAACAGCCCAGGGAATGGTTTTTGATCTCTTTTGAAACATGGCAACAGCAAAGGCAAGCTGGGGACAGCATTGATAAGTAAACTGTTAGTGAAACCGTGAATAAATGTTGATGTGAAATGTCTCTAAACTGTCCTTTTTTTAACAAACTATGAATACACCAAATCTGTTTACCTACATGCCTACTTCTATTAAGCAGTGCCACATTTTGCAGCATTTTAACCAGCTACCATCATTTATCCGAGTATGGATTCTTACGCTCATTTTCTGTGGTAAACCTCAAATAACACATTCATAAAAACAGACATTTAAAATGATGTAATTTTTTTTCTTAAAATGTGTAGAAATTGTTATTTGACCTATAAATGAATTGGTGGCCTGACAATAACATTTCACAACTATTTAACCTACATTAAAGAAGACGGTCACTTCTAGTCATAAGACCACAGGGCCACCTTCAAAGTAAATGTTCGCTGTATAACCTGCGCTCCCCATGCTAAATGCTATTTCAGCATACAAGTAGGCTATGAGAAGATGGTCACTTCTAGTCCTAAGACCATAGGGCCACTTTCAAAATAAATGTTTGCTGTATAACCTGCGTTCCCCGTGCTAAATTTGATTTCAGCATACAAGTAGGCTATTAGAAGACCACCACTAGCTATGAGATTATGAGATCAAAAGTTGACAACCCCAATCAGCTTGTGCTAGATTTATGTTGAGAATTAAACTCACCAGAATTGGCTAGTTGTTGGTTGCATGTATGTCAGTGTGACTAGACATCCATCATTCATTCTATATATGGCCCAAGCTGTCACAGATCTCAATGGTCCAGCTAAAAGGTTAAAATTACCCATTTTGAAAAGATTGATGTTACCTAAATACCTCACTATACTGTAGGCAAACAAAGAATCTATATCCATGGACTGCACATACAAAACATGCACAATGTCACAAATATATAGTACATTATACTGCCAAGGTTTCATCTATTCATTTAAATTTTTATTCACAACCTGAAAAAAAAAAAAAAAAACTGTGAATCTTCTTTATGGCTGACTGTAACCTTGATAATTACATTAAGGTGAAATCTGTTATTGATGTCAAACTAATATGATGTTATGATGGAGATTTTTAAAGTGCAATTAAACTCAAGAACAAAAAAAAAATTATATATATACACACAGACTATATTGCCAAAAGTATTGGGACACCTGCCTTTACATGCACATGTACTTTAATGGCATCCCCGTCTTAGGCCGTAGGGTTCATTATTGAGTTGACCCACCCTTTGCAGTTATAACAGCTTCATCTCTTCTGGGTAGGCTGTCCACAAGGTTTGAGTGTGTCTATGGGAATGTTTGACCATTTTTCCAGAAGCACATTTGGAAGGTCAGGCACTGATGTCGGACGAGAAGGCCTGGCTCGCAGTCTCCGCTCTAATTCTTCCCAAAGGTGTTCTATTGGGTTGAGGTCAGGATTCCGTGCAGTCCAGTCAAGTTCCTCCACCTCAGACTTGCTCATCCATGTCTTTATGGACCTTGCTTTGTGCACTGGTGGGCAGTCATGTTGGAACAGGAAGGGGCCATCCCCAAACTGTTCCCACAAAGTTGGGAGCATAAAATTGTCCAAAATGTCTTGGTATGCTGATGCTTTAAGAGTTCCCTTCACTGAAACTAAGGGGCAAAGAGCAACTCTTGAAAAACAACCCCACACCATAATCTCCCCTCCACCAAACTTTACACTTGGCACAATGCAGTCAGGCAAGTACTGTTCTCCTGTCAACTGCCAAACCCAGACATATGCATCAGATTGCCAGACAGAGAAGCTTATTCATCACTCCAGAGAACATGTCTCCACTGCTGTAGAGTTCATTGGCATCGTGCTTTACACCACTACAACTGACGCTTTACATTGCACTTGGTGATGTAAGGCTTGGATGCAGCTGCTCGGCCACGGAAACCCATTCCATGAAGCTCTCTATGCACTGTTGTGCTAATCTGAAGGCCACGTAAAATTTGGAGGTCTTTATAGCTATTGACTCTACAGACAGTTGGCAACCTCTGTGCACTGTGTGCTTCAGCATGTGCTTAACCCACTCTGTCATTTTATGTGGCCTACCACTTAGTGGCTGAGTTGCTGTTGTTCCCAGTTGCATCCACTTTGTTATAATACCACTAACAGTTGACTGTGGAATATTTAGTACCAAGGAAATTTCATGTATGGACTTATTGCACAGGTGGCAAGCTATCACGGTACCATGCTTGAATTCAGTGAGCTCCTGAGAGCAATGCATTCTTTCACAAATGTTTTGTAGAAGCAGTCTGCATGCCTAGGTGCTTGATTTTACACATCTGTGGCCATGGAGGTGATTGGAACAGCTGAATCTAATGATATGGAGGGGTGTCCCTATACTTATTGAAATATAGTGTGTGTGTATATGTATCTATCTATCTATATATATATATATATATATATATATATATATATATATATATATATATATACACAGTTGTGTTCAAAATAATACCAGTCAGACATCACTAACCTGATCAATCACTGTTTTTTTAGTAGAAATGATATTTCTACATGGCAAATAATTTACTAGCAGGTGTAGTAGAGTAATAGAAATCCAACAGACCCAACAGTCATGACATGCATGCTGCTGATTCTGTGTAATTGAATCACTAATTGAAAGGGACATGTTCAAAATAATAGCAGTGTGGAGTTCTATTAGTGAGGTCATTCATTCTTTGAAAAACAGGTGGCAATTATTGCCCTTATTTAAGGAAGGAAGGCAGCAAATGTTGTACATGCTGGTTACAGTGCATTTCTCGCTAAAATTCTGAGGAAAATGGGTCGTTCCAGACATTGTTCAGAAGAACAGCATACCTTGATTAAAAAGTTGATTGGAGAGAGGAAAACATATAAAGAAGTGCAGAAAATGATAGGCTGCTCAGCTAAAATGATCGCAAATGCTTTAAAATGGCAACCAAAACTTGAAAGACGTGGAAGAAAGCAAAAAACTACCATTCGAATGGATAGAAGAAGAGCCAAAATACCAAGGACTCAGCCAACAATCAGCTCCAGGAAGATCAAAGAAGGTCAAAAGTTACCTGTGAGTACTGTTACAATTAGAAGACGCCTATGTGAAGCCAAGCTATCTGCAAGAAGCCCCCACAAAGTCCCACTGTTGAAAAAAACACATGTGCTAAAGAGAGGTTACAATATGCCAGAAAGCACACTTGACTGGCCTAAAGAGAAATGGCGCAACATTTTGTGGACTGATGAAAGTAAGATTGTTCTTTTTGGCTCTAGTGGCCAGAGACAGTTTGTCAGACGACCCCCAAACACTGAATTCAAGCCACAGTACACTGTGAAGACAGTGAAGCATGGTTGCGCAAGCATAATGATATGGGGATGTTTCTCATACTATGGTGTTGGGCCTATTTATCGCATACCAGGGATCATGGATCAGTTTGAATACATCAGAATACTTGAAGAGGTCATGCTGCCTTATGCTGAAGAGGAAATGCCCTTGAAATGGGTGTTCCAACAAGTCAACGACCCCAAACATACCAGTAAACATGCAACATCTTGGTTCCAGACCAACAAGATTGACGTTATGGAGTGGCCAGCCCAATCCCCGGATCTTAATCCAATAGAAAACTTGTGGGGTGACATAAAAAATGCAGTTTCTGAGGCAAAACCAAGAAATAGAGAAGAACTGTGGAATGTAGTCCAATCATCCTGGACTGGAATACCTGTTCACAGGTGCCAGAAGTTGGTTGACTCCATGCAACACAGATGTACAGCAGTTCTTAGAAACAGTGCTTATACAACTAAATATTACTTATGTGATTCAAAGGAAAGCAAAATCTTCAAACATTTTTCAGTGTATATAGTGGATGTTTGAGTTTGTAAAGAATACAAACACTGCTATTTTTTTTGAACCGTCTAATATTCACTTTTCTTCAATTTTTTTAGAGGAGAACACAAATTTGATATATTTTTCTTCATGTTTTGATTTGGAATAGAATGTGTAGTGTTCCCAATGCATATGTGTGTATGGAAATAAAAGCTATTCGATTTTGAGCTTTATTCACTTTTTTCAACACAATGCTATTATTTTGAACCCAACTGTATATACACACACACACACTATATTTCATTAAGTATGAAACTGATATGCACCTCCTGTTCTAGGGGGACATAATGCAGTCACTGTAATTTATCTATGAAGGAACAGAATTGCCACCTTAGGGCAGGAAGTGAAGTAAGTTTATGGAAAATCTCCCTCTCCCCTCATGTCCATAACATAGGGTTAAGGAGTCTTGAAGTACTAATATACCTCTGGATAACTTTATTTGGGATAGCACTGCAGAGTGCATTGGTCAACACTAGGCTTTGGGGGCATGAATATCTACTTTTATTTTTGCAAATTTGAATTTCAAACAGGTATAGCAAAATGCTTTTAACTGTATACAGTGATACCTCGGTTCACGAATGCTTCTGTTCACGACCAACTCTGTTTACGAACAGAAGAGTTCGCAAAAATTTGCTTCAGTTCGCGAACTCATCTTTGGTTGACGAACACGAGCCTTGGCCATCTTCCCCACTCTGACACATTGTCTTGACTTCCTGTAGGCGAGATCGTGGTCACAGACTGACACTGAAAGTGTACTGTGAAGATACATACTGTACTGAGAAGCTTTTTGGTGTGCTTTTTAGCACGTACTGTACATCCCTGTGTATACTTGCTGTAAAGCTTTTTTGTGTACTTTTAGCACATACTGTACCAGACATCCAGTATGGCTCCAAAGAAAATTCAGAACAAGCATGGTGGTAAGAAAAAAGTGCAGAGCAGTAATGAATGTGACCAGAACATGCAGAGCGGTAATGAAGGTGACAAGAATGTGCAGAGCAAGCATGTTGTTAAAAAGAAAACACAAAGCGGTAATGAAGGTGACCAGAAGCACCACCCCAACATAACTGTAATGAACAGAGAGTTGAATGTGATGAACGATAAAATGGTCTCATTTCCGGAGGGTTTTGCAGCGCAAGTGACATTGGACAGATTTTTCACCAAAACTGAGCCTGCAGCTAAGAGACAAAGAAGAGAGGAAACCCCTGAATGAGATCTCCCCAATGTCCTTATGGAGGGGAACTCTCCCTCCGAACAATAATCGCATTATTATAATTTGTTTTTCATACTGTCACCAGTCAGTGTCCCTGATCACCGCCACACCAGTTATATGATGATGCTGTACTGCACTGGTGACAGTATGTAGAAAAAAAAATGGTGGAAAAAATGTTTTTCTTCATTTCTTTATTTTCCAAAATATTATGACAAAAATTACAACTTGAGGCCATGCCTCTTTCTAAATACCGCAGACTGTCTACTGTCTAAATAATATACACTAATTTGGGTTATTTTCACCAAATAAATGTAGCAGTATACATTTTGGCCTCCATTTATGAAGAACAATTATTTATTGGCAAAATTTTGTAATAGAAATGAAGAAAAATGTGGGTTTGTAACAATTTTCAGTCTTTTATCTTCTAGCAAAAAATAAAAAAAAACAGTGGTAATTAAATACCACCAAAAGAAAGCTCTAGTTGTGTGAACAAAATGATAAAAATCTAGTTTGGGTAGTGTTGCATGACCGCACAGTTAACCTTTTTTAACCACTTCAATATCAGGCACTTTTACCCCCTTCCTGCCCAGGCCAATTTTCAGCTATCAGCGCTCTCACAGTTTGAATGATAAAAAATTTTTTTCCCAAAGAGCAATCCAATGGCATCCCAATCTCCTTTTTCCCAGTGGCACACTAGAGATCAGGACTGCCGCTGCTGTGTGGTCTGACATATTCCCTGCATATCACAACTACTGTAACCCCAGTAATTTCCACTGTTTATTTGCTATGGCTATGCTTTCACAAAAACAGAAAGGTCTGGGAGCTGAAAACATGGTAGTCACCGCCATATGAAAGTAATCTCCTGACAAAGCAGTAAAGCCTAAATAGTGCCTTCTTCTTCTTCAGGAGTGTACCTGTTTGAAAATATTTTCATTTCAAATGTAAAATACAATACACTCTATTAACACCTTGAACACTGTTATAAGCACCTAATAGCACCTTCACGTAACAACCTTTCAGAAAATGTTGATTGTGCTGACCGATAAGTATGCCTTTGTAAAAACATTTTAAGATATACATTACAGAGAATATATGAATATTTAAAAAAGAACAGTTTCCCAAATGGGAATTAAGGAGAAACGTCATGTACAGAGTTGTCTTATTCACTTTTTGAACCATTTTTTCACTTATTATTTAGATCTATTTTAATTCGTATGATTTGAACAATATTGTGGGTAATGTTTATGTTTTATATTATTATAGTATAGGAGATTTTATTTTCTAATTTTTCTTATAGGTTTTATTTCACAAGCATTTACGGCAGCTTATAATTGTTTTGTTTGGGAAGGCAGTGCAGAAACATATTAGAGGTTTTTCATTTGTTTGTTTGTTTTTTTTTTTTTCAAAATGTGCTATTCTAAATGTAAAAATAAATCTGTGCTGCCTTTTTTGGATATCAGTAAATGTATATTTTTCTTTTTAGTCTTTACAAATCCATTTTTTCTCAAATTAATTTTTTCAGTTTCTTTTAATCTATTTGATATGGCTAGATATGTCCATTGAGCCTTATCCATCTACAATTAAAGTTTCAAAAGAGTATGTTAATATCAAAAACTAACATTTTGATGCAAAGATGACAGAATTTTGCTTTAAGGTAAATAATAGGGCAAATTCTGCAATGGGTATGCAAATCCCCTTTTCGTTAGAGTGGGGTTAAAATGTATACTTGGATTTGAATCTCCTTAGCATGATGATAAATTGCAGTCACACTCAGTGAGAAAGGCATCTGTACAGATCCATAATTCCAATGCAGAGATATACATTGTCAGCCCAGAGGAGATAAACACATGTGTTGTATTCAGAAGTCTTATTAGTATTCTACCTGCTGTAGTGATCCTGACACTTTTATACTGTAAGGCTGTCATGCATACCAAATCCTTAACCCCGCTCCTGCTTGCGCTCTCAGCCGCTTACAATGGCTGCAAGTGAGACAGCTCCATCAAATAGCTGAAATTTGAAATTGAAATGACGAGTGATCCTTTTCTCTCCAGATCAGCAATCCACCGAGGAGAGAAGTTAAAAATGAATACTTTCTTGATGGGTTAAAGTCTATGTAAATCCAATCACTAAAATCACTTACAAGTTTTAACATGTTCATGTAATAAAAAACAATCATTATCTTTAAATCTGCAGATATC